GTAAAGTTGGTAAGTGAGAGAGAAGCCATATTGTTTGCAAAGGTTAGCTTTTTACTTCTTTGCAGATTTATGCCCTGTGGCTTCTATGCCCAGCACTTGTCTCGAGGTATCTTTACCACCTGGAGGAATTATGATACTCGGTAAATTCGATATGAGGCACGAATTCTATTTAAGGGTTGTAATTAGGAAGGAAGAAGAAAAGCTATAGATGTAGCATATGAAGGAAACTTGGGAGGATTGATTATTTCTTTGACATATCTTCTTGTATAGTACCTTAAGTATGTATAGGTTTTAAACTACTAACTAATTTGCACACACATATTAACATAATAGGAATACGGTGACATAAACAAAGCAAATCTATAATTACCAGCCATCTCCAGTGAAGCCAAGAAAACCATTTAGGCACCCTAGGCATTTGTGAAAATTTATCTATGATATGATGGATATTTTCCAACTGTACTTGAACCATCAGACAAATTAAAGCAGCCCATTTCTGGGATCTGTTCACATCCCATATGTTCTTTTAACCATAGATAGTCTATAGTCATGAGATTTTGGGGTGCTACAACTTGCACCCCTCCCAACTCCTGGTTGAGTTCCAACAGTACAGATCCAGTCAAATTCGTTGTCTCACTGTATGCACATGCCAGCCTAGACATCTCCCTCCTCCTTCTTATGGCAAGTCCAGGAGACGGTGGGCTGGATGCAGCCACAACCGCAGCATCGTCCGGATCCCTGTGGAGGCTTTTTGATGATCATCCCCCGGCACGAGTCCTCCAGAGAGTGCTGATGCCGGAAGCTCCTCCTCATATCGTATCTTAGTTCATTTTCTGGGTATCCAAGCTAGGCCTTGATCTTCTGCGTAGAAACAAACAGACCCTTTGCCCACACTTTGACATGCCCTCTATACCACTGTGCAGAACTCATTGGAGGTCAGCACACAGTAACTGCTTTTTTTTTTTTTTTTTAATTAAGAGAAAGGAATATTATCAGAAAAGAGTACCTCCATAGCTGATCATCTGACACCCTTTAAGTGATCAACATTAAGGATATTTAAAGCATGCGTTGATCTTTGATTTACCAATAGTTTTATCCTGTTAAGGAGTAATCCCCCTTTTCTTTCTTTCTTTCTTTTTTTTTTTTTAAATTTTTAATCTACACTTACCTGAAGAATACTATGTTTACTATGCTCTCCCCTATATCAGGTCCCCCCTAACAACCACATTACGGTTACTGTCCATCAGCTTAGCAAAATGTTGTAGAGTCACTACTTGTCCTCTCTGTGTTGTGCAGCCCACCCTCCCCTTTCTCCCTCCCCCCCATGCATGCTAATCTTAATACCCCCCTTCTTCTTCCCCCCCCTTATCCCTCCCTGCCCACCCATCCTCCCCAGTTCCTTTCCCTTTGGTACCTGTTAGTCCATTTTTGGGTTCTGTAATTCTGCTGCTGTTTTGTTCCTTCAGTTTTTCCTTTGTTCCTATACTCCTCAGATGAGTGAAATCATTTGGTATTTCTCTTTCTCCGCTTGGCTTATTTCACTGAGCATAATACTCTCCAGCTCCATCCATGTTGCTGCAAATGGTTGGATTTTTCCACTTCTTATGGCTGAGTAGTATTCCATTGTGTATATGTACCACATCTTCTTTATCCATTCATCTACAGATGGACATTTAGGTTGCTTCCAATTCTTGGCTATTGTAAATAGTGCTGCGATAAACATAGGAGTGCATCTGTCTTTCTCAAACTTGATTGCTGCGTTCTTAGGGTAAATTCCTAGGAGTGGAATTCCTGGGTCAAATGGTAGGTCTGTTTTGAGCATTTTGATGCACCTCCATACTGCTTTCCACAATGGTTGAACTAATTTACATTCCCACCAGCAGTGTAGGAGGGTTCCCCTTTCTCCACAGCCTCGCCAACATTTGTTGTTGTTTGTCTTTTGGATGGCAGCTATCCTTACTGGTGTGAGGTGATACCTCATTGTAGTTTTAATTTGCATTTCTCTGATAATTAGCGATGTGGAGCATCTTTTCATGTGTCTCTTGGCCATCTGTATTTCTTTTTTGGAGAACTGTCTGTTCAGTTCCTCTGCCCATTTTTTAATTGGGTTATTTGTTTTTTGTTTGTTGAGGCGTGTGAGCTCTTTATATATTCTGGACGTCAAGCCTTTATCAGATCTGTCATTTTCAAATATATTCTCCCATACTGTAGGGTTCCTTTTTGTTCTATTGATGGTGTCTTTCGCTGTACAGAAGCTTTTCAGCTTAATGTAGTCCCACTTGCTCATTTTTGCTGTTGTTTTCCTTGCCCGGGGAGATATGTTCAAGAAGAGATCACTCATGTTTATGTCTAAGAGGTTTTTGCCTATGTTTTTTTCCAAGAGTTTAATGGTTTCGTGACTTACATTCAGGTCTTTGATCCATTTTGAGTTTACCTTTGTATATGGGGTTAGACAATGGTCCAGTTTCATTCTCCTACATGTAGCTGTCCAGTTTTGCCAGCACCATCTGTTGAAGAGACTGTCATTTTGCCATTGTATGTCCATGGCTCCTTTATCAAATATTAATTGACCATATATGTTTGGGTTAATTTCTGGGGTCTCTAATCTGTTCCACTGGTCTGTGGCTCTGTTCTTGTGCCAGTACCAAATTGTCTTGATTACTATGGCTTTGTAGTAGAGCTTGAAGTTGGGGAGTGAGATCCCCCCTACTTTATTCTTCTTTTTCAGGATTGCTTTGGCTATTCGGGGTCTTTGGTGTTTCCATATGAATTTTTGAATTATTTGTTCCAATTCATTGAAGAATGTTGCTGGTAATTTGAGAGGGATTGCATCAAATCTGTATATTGCTTTGGGCAGGATGGCCATTTTGACGATATTAATTCTTCCTAGCCATGAGCATGGGATGAGTTTCCATTTATTAGTGTCCCCTTTAATTTCTCTTAAGAGTGACTTGTAGTTTTCAGAGTATAAGTCTTTCACTTCCTTGGTTAGGTTTATTCCTAGGTATTTTATTCTTTTTGATGCAATGGTGAATGGAATTGTTTTCCTGATTTCTCTTTCTATTGATTCGTTGTTAGTGTATAGGAAAGCTACAGATTTCTGTGTGTTAATTTTGTATCCTGCAACTTTGCTGTATTCCGATATCAGTTCTAGTAGTTTTGGAGTGGAGTCTTTAGGGTTTTTTATGTACAGTATCATATCATCTGCAAATAGTGACAGTTTAACTTCTTCTTTACCAATCTGGATTCCTTGTATTTCTTTGTTTTGTCTGATTGCTGTGGCTAGGACCTCTAGTACTATGTTAAATAACAGTGGGGAGAGTGGGCATCCCTGTCTAGTTCCTGATCTCAGAGGAAATGCTTTCAGCTTCTCACTGTTCAGTATAATGCTGGCTGTGGGTTTATCATATATGGCCTTTATTATGTTGAGGTACTTGCCCTCTATTCCCATTTTCATAGCCCTATCTTTTATTCAAAGAACATTGCAAACATAAAAATATACCAAAAACAAGCACTTCTGTATCCTTAATTAACAGATATTAATGATTTTCCACATTTCCTTAAGGTCTCACTTTTTAAAAAGATAATAAGACATTCTAGATAGCTAGAATTGGTGAGCTTTTGCTGCATAAGAAGGCATCCCAAACTGTAGCTTAAAAGCTATTTAGTTCTCAATTCTAGAAAAGCTGTATCTGATCACAAGCATGTGGCAGAGCTGATAAAAGAACCTAATTCTTTGGGCTGCTGGTCTAAGGATTTTTCTACTGTGCCAACCATTTTAGAAAATGAATTCAATTGATATTTTCTAGACATTCTATGGGGATATTTCTGGGTATTGCTGAAGAACTCTAGAGGTTAGTCGCACCAGTCATTAGGTCTCATGTTATGTCCAAAGTTGTATGTTTCCATTTTCTTTAACATAACCCTTTCTGACCATCTGAGTGATGTATTTCACCATTAAATATTGTTCTTATAAACAATCTGAATATTGTTTTCAGTGAAAGTCTTAATTTCCTACTTTCTTAAAACTGGGATATATGATCTTGATCCATTAGAACAGTGATTCTCAAACTGTAGCATGATCACCTAAAGAGCTGGTTAAAATACAGATTACCAGGCCCCAGCCCCAGGGTTCTGGGTTCAGTAGGTCTGGGTGGTCCTGAAGATTTGCATTTTGAAGTTCCTAAGTGATTTCGATCAATGAATTAAACAAAAGAGTCATGGCAAGTATAAGATTTATAGATTGTGTACATAAGATTTATATTACATTTTTTGTGGTATTATTTATAATAAAACTTGGAAACTACAAAAATGTCCAATGTAAGACTTTTAAAATAATTTCACATACAATGAAAGAAGCAAGTTATCCTAACGCTGTGTGTACATGCGTGTGTATATACATACCTGGATCAGTACTGACCAACAAAGTGTCAGAACAAGAAGTGGTTTTTATGCTCTTCTGCTTTTCTATACTTGCCAATTTTTCAATGGTCATATTTACTTTTGTGTAATAAAAAAAGTTGTTAAAAATAAGTTATATTTTAAATACAAAAAAATAATTGAATTCAGCCATGATCAGTATTTTTCCTGTTAGCTGACACCTAGTAATACTTACTTAGCTCAGAAAGACATTACCATCAGAATATTGTTCGGGGCTACTTTTAGGACAAAACATCTTGCCATTCTTCATATAAGGCCAGCATCAGCACTGGTTCATCTATGAGACAAAGACTCATTTAACATTAAGTTCTGGCCCCCAACATACACATACAGAAGTCTGAACCCTGTGCTGTGCCAGCTCTGTGTCATTGGGCTAGCTTCCTAACCAGTCTGTATATTAGTTTCTTAATCTGTGAAGTGGGATAATCATACATCATAGGGTTGTTGTGAGGATTAAATGAATTAAGAAAATGTTAGCTATTGTTTGCAAAAAGAAAAGTTCAGCAGTTGCCTATTACTAGTAAACACACATTAGTATGTTTTGTTTTTATTATTTCCAGATCTGGATGTGTGGAGGCCAACTCTTTATACTCCCCTGCTCTCGAGTAGGACATATCAATAAACACATCCCAAATCAACCTGCAGTTATAAAAGCTCTGACATATAACAGTCTCAGACTAGTACACGTTTGGCTGGATGAATACAAGGTAAAGAAAACGTCTCCGATTTGGAAAGATGAGGGAGGATACTGAGGGGGACTTGCTCTAATGAAGTCTTCTATGCCTTTCTAGATAACCATTTGTCTTCTTGTATCTGTTTTCCTTAAATTAGTGGCCTCCCCTCAACCACTCATCCACCTCTCCCAGTTGAACTATTCTCAAGTTACTTCATTCTAAGCTGTTACACTCACACCTTACTTTTTATTTTAATTTCTGGGGGAGCTCAAGTTTCTGAAAAGTAAATCAACCAACACAATACGTAATATATAGTATTTCAGTTCTATAAAGTTAAAAATGAGTAAAATCAGGCCATATAATCTATGGATGCGTAATCAGATATCAAAGCCAGAGAGAAGAGCAGACATGAATACAGGATAGCATTTACACTAAGGGAAAGGACTTTGATGATCTCCTATTACTTGGGCAAAGGGAAAGGCCAGGCGGCTTCTGGGCCATGTTCTATTTCTTGGCCAAGTCAGAGTTACTGGGGTTGATTTCTCAATAATTCATTAAGTTGCATATTAATATTTTATATACCTTTTGTATGTTTATTATATTTCCTGATTCAAAAATATTTTTTTTAGGAGAGGTCATATAGTACTGGAGTATGAAAAGGAGGCTTTCTAAGCCCATAGTTCCACCCCTCAGAAGTAGTCACAAATTTAGTTTCCTGTTAACATACACATACAGAAGTATATATCCTTTTCTTTTATGTAACTAGATTCACACAATATTTTGTTCTGCAATTTTTCCATATCAGTAATTTTTTAAAATACTTTGAGTCTCTCAAAATCAGAACACAAAAACATATTCTTTTAAATATTTCTTTTGAATGGCTCTCCTACAATTGATCCCATTGATATACCCCATTTATAAACATTCTGATTATCTCAGCTTTTTATTCCTTGTTTCTTAACACTGCTGAAATGATGTTCTTTACAGGTATCTTTGTGTGTGCACTTGTGCAGGTATGTCTCTGGGAAAAATCTCAAGACACAGATCACAAGTTAATGCATTTTAAATCCTGATGGATAATGTCCAAGCTGTCCTTCATTCTACACTGTCACCTACACTGTCATCAAATGATATGAAAGTGCCTGTCTCCCCACAATTTTTCCAACCCTGACTTTAATTAAACCTTATATTTCTTTTAACCTGATAGGTTAAAAAATTATATCTCATTGTTCAAATTGTATTTATTTAAGAGATCTTGAACTTATTTTTATGTTTGCTGGGTTTTTTTTCCCTGTGAACTTTGGTCAGATTTCAATAGTTGAACACAAGTAGGACTGAGTAGTTAATTGAGTTTCTCAGAGGATAAAGTGACAAAAAGTTCCATCTAACTTAAAACATAACGTTGGACATAAAACCAATGGACTGTATGACCCGGCACACTGGGAAGTTTAGTGAGTGGCACTGGATAGGAGAGAGCTTCAGACAGGCCACGACAGAGGTGGCACAGAGGGCTCCAAGAAGGCTGGGTGCTGCTTCCCGGGAGCCCAGCAATCACAGTGACTCCTTTGTCCTGGCAGGTCATGGTCTGTCACAGCACACACTGTGAGTGTGCAGGGTGAGTGAACCCCGGGTCCTGTGTGCCTCTCTGCCATCTCTTATAGATGAAATCAAAAGGTTTTTGTGTTTTTTAGTTCAGATGATGAAAATATATATTGCTACAAGAGGTTTCATGATTGGATTACAGAAGATTGGTTTGGTTTAATGATATGACTCCTTTCCATTTAGGAGCAGTTTTTTCTATGGAGACCTGGTCTGAAATCCGCTGCCTATGGAAACATTACTGAGCGTACTGAATCAAGGAAACGATTGAGATGCAAGTCATTTCAGTGGTATTTGGATACAATCTTTCCAGAATTGGAAGCATCTACGGGCAGCCTCTAAAAGGAAAATAAATCATTTTCATTAATGAAGGGTTAACAAGTTCCCTATCCCTTCAACACAGAGAAGAGTACAAGTTTGGAACACCACGCATGTGAAATACAAAGAGTGATCTACCATAGCAGTGTCTTTTCTTTCCTCCCCTAATGGTAGTTCTTCGTACTGTTACTCATCTGCCACTCAGCTTCTGGGATGGCAAGACCTTGAACATTAGAGATGTATTCTGTCACACAGTGAAGACTGAGGCAAAGAATATTATTTCCAATTATTTGCCACACTCACTTGGTCCTGACAGACCATAGGGAGCTTTTGCCAACTCCACTTCTACCCCACATACATGACCCGGCCCAGTGGCCTTCTCAGTGGGATATTCACAGAGAGCCTTGGTTGGCCCTTACCAGCTTTAGCTCAACTGCATCGAGCTCCTTTCTTGCTGCCAGCGTAGATTCTGGTGCTGACACCTTGCTTGGTTGGGTTCCTGAGTTTCTGATGTCCAGGGCACTTGCCTGGGTGTCCTGGTGCAGCTCTCCAAGTCAGCCTCCCCATTTGTTCCCATTGTCCCATCCCTTCTGTCACTTGGAAACACTCCCTTTTCCCTGATTCTGACCGTGCTCTTTTCGTGTCTGTCCCCACCTAGGGCTCCGGCCTACAGCTCTCCTGACACCTCTTGGATTGCATGCCTTGTTGATAACCTATGTTCTGACTTGAGAACTGTTCAGCCAGAATTGGGGAAGCAGCTACTACCATTTGTGAACATGCTCCCAGATCTCTGAAGTACAATACTTCTTTCAGATTAGAGGGCTGGCTGTTGCATTCACCCTGGTGAAAGTGGCTAGGAAAGTGAAATATATTTAACTCACAAAGACAAAGAGAATGAGAAAATGGGGAAGGAACATATGGAAAGAAGTAAAAACAAGTAGGGGAGACTTAGGTTCACTAAACATAGCCTATGCGGGAGAACATGTAAGTAGTTTTCAGCAGGAAACAACTTGACTTATCTATCATGTTCATTCAGTCAGCAACTGAGTGGGCCTCCCGGGTCTGTCTAGGTGCTGTGATGGAGCAGGTAAATATCCTGCCCCTCATGGAGCTTGAGTTCTTTGGGATAATATATATAATGTAAGAAAAAAGAACCAATTTATAATCTCTCTATATCTACATATTTAGCAAAATACTCTGTGAAATCTATTGCAAGAAACACATGAGAAAAATTTGTGCTCATATATTACAGATGGCCGGAGTAACTCGACTGAGCCTTTAAAAGGTTAGTCCAACAGCACAAAATAAGCACTACATTATGATTATATTCTTAGCCCATACTTATACTTCCTGCTTCTAGGAAGGAATTTAAAAAATTGATTATAATAAATCCATGAATCTATTATAATAGTAAAATACAAAATAGGAATTCTGTAGCTGAAGGAAAAAAATCATAGTAGTATAAATATAAAGTATCTTCTTGAAATAATTTTTTTCTAGTTTTGACATTTGAGAATTTTTTTTTGGTAAGCATAAAGGAGGATGCTGTAAATACCAGATTTGCCAAAAAAAAAAAAGTCTTTTTCCTTAGAGCTATAGGCCTAATGTTAAGCTTTAGTTTTCTAATGCAATGTAGTTTAGGCACTAGATAACATGGATAAGTCTTAGAAATGATGTAGCATGTTGCTTAAATAGCTCATCTTGAATATTATCAGTTGACTCTGGAATAGAAAAATCTGAATCAACATTCAAAAATCTGGATGTGATTGAAAGAAATCCATACTTGCCTATAGGTGGACGTTTTTTGTTTTCAACTGGAAATTTAAAAATCTACTTGGTATTCTGGAGCCAGTTGGTAAGTATCTACTAACCTGCTCAAGGCTTTTTATAAAACAGTTTTTAGTATGATCAAGTAAGTGCTCAGACAAGCCTCAAATTAAGCCTGTAACTAAAGCATACTTACAGGAATTGACCCTAAGTCACACCCGCATGAAATACCAGCTAACACTGAGCTCTCATTCTGTGTCATACCCCGTGTTAAGTACTCTGCATCGATTACCTCATTTCAGCTACACAACCTCCCAAGTCCTGTGATCGCTATGTCTAGATGAGAGAACTAAGGTTGGAATTTGTCCAGGGTTTTAGGGTTGCCAGACTTCATAAGTGAAATTACAGATGCTCGGTTAAATCTGAATTTTTGATCAACAATTATGTTCTGTGTAAGTATCTTCCACATATTCCATGGAACATATTTATACTACAAAATTATTCGTTTCACCTGAAATTCAAGTTTTAGGTTGTCCTGTATTTCATCTGGGACAAACTAACACAGCCCATATACAAGCCTTATCAGCCCAAACTCAGATTCTGGATTTAACCAGATGACAACGGTGCAAAGAGCATTTTAGCTTCACTTTGTATAACGGTAATAAACTGGAGCTAATCCCAAACCTCAACTGCCGGAATTAAACCACTGAACATCAGTTCGGTGGGTTAGTATAAGCCCTTTGACAGTAACAGATCGAAACTGATGGTTCTTACCCACAGAATGGCAAATATTTAAATGTATGGCATTCAAGGGTCGGGAGGAAGGAGGTGGCGCAGAGGAAGCGCTCGCACGCTGACTACCCTAGAACACTGCTTTCAAACTTTGTAAGAGAAAACAACTGGACATCTTGGTAGAACGCGGATTTCGGTTAGTCCGCAGGTGCGGCGCCGCGGCGCCGGGCCTCCCTCGGCGGCCCGGACCAGCGACAGGTGAGCTGGCGCGGCTTCCCGCCGCGGCGGCGGCCCCACGCGTGCGTCTCCTGCTGCCTCGGCGCGCAGGGCTCTCCACAGCCGCTCCGAAGGTACGCCGCCCCGCCCTGTAACTCGAACCGACGTTTCCTCACCCCAAGCGCGGCTGACTCAGTAAATTTAAGAGCATTTGTCTCTAACGACGCCTTCCTATCGGCGTCAAGACGCCGAGGGCCGCCGGCAGCTCGCGAGAGCGTCTCGGACGGCCGCAGACCCGAAGCCGGCGCCCGGCGCAGGGTGACGTCATCGGCGGGGCGGGGCCGGCCGCTCGTAGCCCCTGCGGGCGTGCGCGCTAGCGCCAAGGCTGCGGCCGGCCCTGCGCAGCGCGCCGCGGCTATTCCGGGGCTGCTCCGCCAGCCGTGGCCGAAGCGGCTCGGACCCGGGCTGTGGCGGCAGGGAGGATGCCACAGCCCGAGTCCCTGATCGCCGGTGTCCTGCGCTGCCGGCGTCGGGGTGAGTAGCGCGCAGCCCGGCGGCGGCGGCGGCGGCGCCTGACCCGCGCGGCCTGCGTCCGTCCCCTGAGCGCTTCCGGCGAGAGGCTCCGGCGGCGCGCCCGGCCCGGCGCCGCGGCCCCTGCAGCGGGGGCCTGCGGGCCCTGGCGCGGGCGGTGTGGGGGGGGGGTCCGCTCGCGGCCCTTCGGGGGATGGGGGCCCGGAGACGCCGCGGGGAAGTGGCCGCGGGACCGCGGGCGGCCTGGCGGCGCGGGGCAGCCGCGGAGATTCAACCTGCGGCCCCGCTGGTGCTTCTGAAGTGAAGGCCGGGCCCGTGCGGCCCAATCTTTCAAACAAAAAAAGAGCCTAGAATGGTTATGGAAAATTTCAACCATGTGAAAGCTGGAGAGAATTGAATAATGCAGCCCCCGGTAGTCGGCCCTGTTTCCACAGTATCAGGCAGTCCACATTTCCCTGAAAAGTCTCAAAAAATTTTTTTCTTTCTTTATGGTTGGCTGGTGCCAGATTTTAACCAGGTTCACACATGGCATTTGGCTGATGTGCCCCTTCAATGCCTCTCTTTCTTTGCAGGGCACTTCGGTAAATGGGGTTGTCTTGTGTAATGTCCCTCATTCCTAAAATCCTTGCCGTTTGAATAAATATAAAAATACCAAGTCCTATCCTCCAGTTCAGGTAAACTTCACCCTTTGACGAATATTAGTGTGCTCGCGAGGACTGGCTTTATTTTTATCATCAAAGAAGATTTGGTCCAGTATTCTTTTTTACTCGCTATTACGAAAATGGATGGTTTTTCAAATGAAAAGTGAAATTGCAACTTTGAGGGTGCCTTTCGTACTACTGTGCACGGACAAAATACTTCAGTGCTAACCTCCTCCCTCAAATAACAGGGTTAGGCCAGGCTTTTCAGATTTTTTATTTTTTAACTCGATTCTTCCCTTTTACCCAGAAATACTGTGTTTTGAGGTCTACTCTGCCTTAAGAAAAATAGAAGATTCAGAACCTCTCTGCCCTCCATGGCTATCAGTTGAGCTTTTGAAATTAAACGTCCACACTTTTCACATCTCTTGACAATTTATGTGCTGTTCCTTGCAATTTGGATTTTTTTCCCTTAATAATAACAAAATATACACAACATGAAGTTTGTCATATTAACCATTTTTAAGTGTACGATTCATCTGCATTAAGTACATTCACGGTGTTGTGTCCCCATCACCGCTGTCTTTCCAAAACTTACTCATCACCCTAAACAGAAACACCCCAAACAGTAACCTTTAAGCGGTAACTCCTCATTCCCCTTCTTCCAGCCCTTTTCTGTCTCTGTGAATTTGACTAACTTAGACACCTCATGTAAGAATTATACAGTATTTGTCCTTTTGTGTCTGACTTATTTCATGTAATGCTTTGAAGTTTCATCCATGTTACAGAATGTATTAGACTTCATTCCTTTTTATGACTGAATAACAATTCCTTTGCTGTTCCAGTGCATGGCTATATCAGTTTATCTGTTCATCCAGTTGATTGATGGACACTGGGTCGTTTACACCTTTTGGCTACAGTGAATAGTGCAACTGTGAATGAATAATTACAAATATCTGTTTGAGTATCTGTCGTCCCTTCTTCGGGGTATATACCTGGAAGTGGACTTGCCAGGTCATGTGGTAAATCTGTGTTCAGCTCTTTGAGGAAGTAGCAAAACCTTCTCATTTTAAAAACCCCTGTCTTGAAGACCTTCAAGCCTTAACTAATTGTTAAATCTGATGGCCCCATCTCGATTCCCCCTTGCTTGACCTCTGTAAATCTGTGTGACTGGCAACTCGTGTAGCTGGTCAGTTCATCCTCTCGAGGTTCTTCAT